GCCTGCCACAACGCCAGGCTATTTTTTTGTTGTAGTTTGGCCGGGGCTGGGTTTGAACCCGCCACCCTTTGTATATGGGGCCAGCGCCCTACTCACTGAACACAGGTGCCGTCTATACTCTACTCTTAATAAATTTAACATGTACCCTTGCAATATGCACAATAGGTGAGGTCCCACCGATTACCCTCCCTTCACCCGGCCACCCCTCCTAACCTCCCTTCACCCTCCTATTCCCTCCTTCATTCTGGGCTAGACATTTTATAGTTGTGTTTTATTTATTTTTTATTTATTTTTTTTTTGGCCGAGGCTGGGTTTGAACCCAACACCTCTGGCACGTGGGGCCAGCGCCCTACCCTTTTGAGCCACAGGCACTGCCCTGTAGTTGTGTTTTATGTTTAGATCTTTGACCCATTTTGACTTAATATTTATATCAGGTATGTGGAACTCTCCTATGTGAGTTCCAACTTTGCTCTCATTTTTCCAAAATTGCTTTGACTTTCTTAGTCCTTAGCATATCCATGTAAATTTTAGAATCAGCTTATTAGTTTCTACCTAAAAGGGGTGCTGGATTTTTACTTGGAATTGCATTGAATATATAGATTCGTCTGGAAGAAATGACATCATTTTTAAATTTCAGATTAATATGAGGGTACAAATGATTAGATTACTATGTTTATGTTAGGTAAAATCCCAGGGTAGTTATGCCCTGCACACATGAGGTGTGCTGTACACTCTTACATTGTGCCCATTAGTTGGGAGCACACCAATCCCCTTCCCTCCTTCCCTCTTTCCCTTCCCTCCTCTCTCTTGTACCCCCAACTTGAATTAAATTGAGTTTTTCTCTTGTGTGGGCATATATTAGTTTGTTTACTGTCTTCATATTAGTATTGAGTACATTGGGTACTTGCTTTTCCATTCTTGTGATACTTTACTAAAGAGAAAGTTTTTCTGACTGTATCCAGGTAAAGTCACCATCTTTTTTAGTGGCTGAATAGTATTCCATAGTATACATATGCCACATTTGTTAATCCATTCCTGGATTGATGGGCATTTAGGTTGTTTCCACATCTTGGTGATTATAAATTGAGCTGCGATAAACAATCTAATGCAAATGTCCTTATGATAAAATGATTTTTTTTCTTCTGAGTAGATGTCTAATAATGGGATTGTGGGATCAAATGGAAGATATATTTTGAGTTCTTTAAAGATTCTTTATTCTTCTTTCCAAAGAGTCTGTATTAGTTTGCAGTCCCACTAACAGTGTAAGAATGTTCCCCTTTCCTCCACATCTGTGCCAGCATCTGCAACTTTGGGACTTTGTGATATCTCAGGGTGATTTTGATCTGTAATCATCTCTGATGATTAGGGACACTGAGCATTTGTTTACATGTTTGTTGGCCATTCATATATCTTTTTACAGGAAGGTTCTGTTCCTGTCACTTGCCCAGTGGTATGTGGAATTGTTTGCTTTTTTTGTTGTTGATTGATTTGAGTCCTTTGTAGATTCTAGTTATCACCGTTTTCTAGTATTCATAACACGAAATATCTTTTCCCATTCTGAAGGTTGTCTCTTTGCTTTAATTGTTGTGTCCTTATATGTGCAGAAGCTTTTTAGCTTAATTAAATCCAACTTATTTTTTTCTGTTGTAGTTGTGATTGTCAGTGAAGTCTTTAAAAAAATCTTTGCAAGGCCAATATCAAGAATTTTCCCCCATGCTTTCTTCTAGGATTTTTATAGTTTCATGTCTTAGATTTAAATATTTAACCATTCTGAGTCAATTTTTGTTTAAGTGGTGAGAGGTACAAGTCTTTTTGGTTGTCCATTTTTTCCAGCACCATTTATTAATAGGGATTCTTAACCCAGTGTGTGATTTGTTTGGTTTATCAAAGATCAGATGGTGATAAGAGGCTGTTTTCATCTCTAGGTTTCCTATTCTAAGAACTGACATCTTAACAACATTGAGCTTTCTAACCTAGGAACATAGTATATCTATTCATTTATTTAGGCCTTTAATTTCTTATAGCAGTTTTTTGTAGTTTTCAGTGTAGTAGTCTGACACATCTATTATGAAATTTTTCCCTGAGGATTTTATGGATTTTGCTGTTGTTTTAAATTGCATTTAATTTTTTTTTCAGTTTCCAGTTGTTTGTTGCTAGTAAATAAAAATGGTGGGTTTTTTTTTGTTTTTTTCCCCTGTCTATTGACCTGCTAAATTTACTTACTAGATTTTTTTTTGATCTTTATATATAGATGTGGCATTGTCTGCATATAAAGACAGATTTACATTTTCCTTTTCAGTCTCATATGCCTTACATGTTTTTTCTTGCCT